TATATATATATATATACAACACATACACGAGACGGTTTCATACAAAAGCATTGATTATAGCTGAAGCAATCGGTGAGGCTCATGCCTTGTCCAAAGATTTCCAATATATCACAAATTCAGTTATTCACGAAGAGCAACATGAAGTTGCGAATGAAAACGATTATTGAAAAGGAGTAGGGTGATCACTTACGTACCCATTCAAATAGCCAAGTGAAGCACCTACGCTCAACCTACTGACGGCCTAAGGAGTCTTCCGAAAAAAGGTAATAGAAAAAAAAAAGGAAAAAAAAAAAAAAGTTGGCTTAGCCAACTAAAGTAGGAAATTGAAGGACTCAGAATTTTGGAGTAACTCCGATTCTACACGTCGAAGTATCAGGTAAAGCAATTCAAAAGGGAAAATTCAACAGAAATTAAACACCCAACTTTAAAGAACATGTGGGATATCAACCAAGAGCAATAAAAATTAAAAAATAACCAAGATTAGAACCTCTCAGCCACTTGGAAGAAGGAAGGATGATCGAATTCTCATCTGTTTTTTAGACAAGTGACGCAATAAAAAAAATTCCATGTTTTTTATCTGAGGAGGCTACCTGCTAATTTGAGTACAAGAAGTGAGATAAAAAGAAATTAGATGGGAAGATAGATGAAAGGGGGTAAATATTATGCTCAACTGCCAACATTCCGTTGAAATATCCTTTTAAGAGCTGCTACTTGCTAGCCTTCTCAATCAGATCAGCTACCCCAACTGTCAACGACACTTGAATGTGTCCTTAACTGATATTATGTTTATAGTAAAAAAAGAGTTTTAATATCTCGAATTTCGCCTAAGTGTGGGGTTGAACGAGTTCACCAAAGAATTATTGGAGCACGAAGACTCTACTAGACTTAGTTACCCATTGCTTAACTTATATCTCATTTAATACAAGAGGTTACATATTAATAGCCAAAGAAAAGCAAAAAGTAGCTCAGAATACCACACAGTGATTTACAAAACAATGGGTTAAAACTATGGGGGGAAAGTAATATCATCATCATAAAAAGCAAAACCTCACAGTATATCAATAAATGGACTCGTCATTTATTATTACATCCACTAAAAAAACAAAAGTAAATAGTGCATTCATTGATTTAAAAAGCAAACCAAAAAGTAAAACCACTTTTTTAAATTAATACCATTAAGAAAACCATAGGCTGCTTTTATCCAAGATATTGTGGAATGACTCTTGTAATTCTTACTCTTCATCTTCAGAACTCATGATGCTACAGTATTCTCCATGATGTAACATGCATAATTTTTCTTTGATTTGCCAACTATAGTATTGTTTAACATTTTTATAGAAACGATCTAATAGTTATATTGTTGTAGGTTGCCCAATGCTAGATTCTTCATGGTTTTAAAGCAATTCATCTTTATATCTTCGAATAAATCTTTGCTAAGTGAAATTGATCCTTTGAAAATATTTACATAAATTATTTTCCCAATTTGTTTATCTAACAATTTTGTCATAAAATCTCTAGCAATGTTATTAAGATATAACTGTCTTTTAAAAATTCTCAAATAAGCAAAGACTTCATTTTTTATAATCCATGCAATTAGAATTCTATCTTTCTTCTAAGGTTTCTAGAAGCCATGTTAGCCACTCATCTTTCTTGACTGTTGTTAT